AAACGCTGCCTTAAGACATCTAGCCTTTATTATATATATTTATGGCGCAAACAGTAGGAACATAAACAAAGGAGGAGGAAGAGAGCTGGGGTCCATGCTAAAGGCTAACCCCTCCAGACTAGCAGGACCTCGCTCCTACTCTCCAATGTAGGGCTACGTTTGCTGAGAGAAACCCGCAGAGAGAGGAGGGACTGCTGTGTGTTTGCTTTAACAGAAACATGGCTTCATGACAACATCCCAGACAGACATACAGCTGGAAGGGATTATTCCGGGCGGACAAAGGGACAGCTAGTTCTGGGCAGCATCTGCGGCTTCACCATAGTCACACCATCGTGTGTGTCTTTGTGTCACTGAAGACCTACCAGGACCTGAAGAGGTTCACCATGTTCAACGACTGGCGGCGCGAATGGACGCAACGTCCACTTGTGGAGACAGCGAACGTTAGTGTCTTATCCCAGACGTGCATTCCACAAAATTTGCTGGTTGAATAATTCTGAAGAAACGCTCTCTCATCTTGCCTGTACTGCTGTGTAGCAAAATGACAATAAACTTGATTTGATTTGATGTGAAATAGCTTTAAAGTTTATTCCAACAAACATACTGCTCTCTGTCCAAGAACTTGGAGTTCTAAACCTTATTACACTCAAAATACTCCTTTTTATTCAAGAACTTATAGTTTATAATACGTTCTGTGTAAATACTCTACTTTTAAAATTTTGTTTCACCAAACTACTACTTTCTAAGTACTTCTAGTTTTAAAGGTTTATTCCACTCAAAATACTACTTTCGGTCCAAATACAGTTTAAAAGGTTTATTCCAACAAAACATGACCTTCTGTACAAATATATCGAGTTTTAAAGGCTTATTCCAACCCCTCTGCTTTTCCTTTAACTATAATCTCTAATATATACATATACATTGATTTATCTGGATTTATGTATATTTTTAATACAGCATGGTTGGAAGCTAAATAAAAGCAGACCACTTTACCAGAAAATAAAAATGCGTTTTACATGTTGTTTTTTTTTGCAACTGTGATGACCAATAGGCTGCATGTATTAGTTATAATGAAACAATGTTGTTGAACAGTAGCTCATGCACTGAGCTCAGTCAATGTTTTTCTCACCGTCACTCCGGTAGTTCGAGGCCTCGACATCTTATTTTTGGAGTCACGACTCTGCGCTCTTATCTTATCTGCGCCTGTTTCTGCAGCGTCCTCTGGGCTGAACCCGGCGGCGGCACTGCAGCTCAGGGGTCGGCTGCAGGCTGCGGACCGCCCGGCCTGAGTCTGCCGGACAAGGCGCTCCGCCCGCCGGACGGACCGGACCGTCCCATCGCTCCAAGACCGCGGTCCGATCGTGACAGAGCCGAGAGGAACCGACTGGACCTGCATTCCTCTGCAGGCAAAGAAATAAACCCAGCCGTTTACCCGCAGTAAAGCATCCAGGCTGGAAACGGGCCGCAAAGTTTTGATGCTCTGGTCTCCATAGCAACACTTTCTGGACTGGAGTAACTCGAAACTGTTTGCTGATTGGCCCGTGAAGCTCAGGCAACACCGGACACCTGCTGCACTTTGTTTGGACCCTTACATATTGTAAAGTCAAATAACAATACAAAGAGCTTTTCCGTGGGTTTTACTCATATCCTTTTTTGCTGGTGTATGTTTTGGCGATATCCTACAATGAATGACTAACGTGTTCATAGTCGAGCCACCAAAGTAAACAACAAACACAGGGATTTAAAATAGAACAGATTAGATACAAAGGTGAATCTCTCTCTCTCTCTCTCTATATATATATATATATATATATATATATATAAGTATATATATAAGTGGACGAAAAGGAGTGTGTGTTGCGCATGGGGGAGCTGAGATTTTGGAGCAATTCAGAAAAAAAAAATGACGAAAATACACATTTTCAGAAAATGTCCAGTTTTACCACTACTCACTATACGTAAAATATCTTAAGATAAGATAAGATAAGGAAAAACTTAATTAATTCTGAAGGACATTCTTGTGCCAGTTACTGCTTAGAAGACAAAATTAGCACTATCATAGCATCATAACAATAAATTCAGTGCCTAGGAGAAAAGCAATAAGATATAAGTATGACAAATGAATTAAAATAAAAAATAATTCAGCGAAAATAGATTAGAATAGAAAAGTAAGATGTCATACTGGTTTGGAGGTCGTAAAGCAATATTACAGGTGATAATGAAATATTGGGAATGAAATTGGCAAATTTTAGATGAAAATACTAATAGAAATTAGGATAAATTTAAAACAAAATGAATTCGCTTTAATTAAACCTTAAATTGAAAAAAATCTATTCAGTGGTTCAGATGAGTCAGTCACTTAAAAAAAAAATCACGTTTAGTCGCAGGCGTCATCGTGCGGAGTCAGAGCGGCCACCAGGCGGCGCTGTGGCCGCTCAGACCACCACATACTGACCAGCGAAGAAGAGCCGCAGGAACGCCACTTGCAACTTAGCTAACGTTAACAGACACGTTGTTAGCTTAATAAAGTCAGCCTCCTATTTTGTTTATAGTTTTTTGACAGCGCTAAAAACGCTCAGACTCGTGTATTTAATGTGACTTTTGTTTTTGGCCGCTGTGTGGGCGCCGCCGTGTCTTAAGTCAGCGCTTCAAAGCTCAGCATCCACGAAGCTAACGCTAGCAACAGAGCGGCTAACGACCACACGGAACCTCCGAGAGGATGAACCTGGTCCAGAACAGAAGTTTACATCCTCACCTGCGCGACGAGGAGGCTCTGGTGGTGGAAAACGCCATCCGGCTGGCCATAGACTCCATCATAAACGTGCTGTACGGCGTCAACAGCGCCAGGACCCACGAGTACCAGCGGATGGTGGCCGACAGGGACAAAGAGATCCAGCGGCTGGAGTGCAGGCTGACGGAGATCGAACACGAGCTGCAGGAGCTGCGGCGGCACGGATGCACCTGCGGGTTGAGCGGAACCGAGCACCGGGGCGGCGGGTCGCAGGGCTCCTGTGACCGGCAGAAGGCAGAGCAAAGCGGCTTCGAAGCAAACTGCACGGAGCCTGAAGTGGCAGCAGGGCAGCAGGAGTGTGAAATGAGCATATCATGTAAGTTACCAGAACAATGCATCAGATGTGGCTTTACAGATAGAATAAAGCCCAAAAGGAGACACGTCCTCTTAATCTGACTGTTTTTGAGAAAACTGGCCTACTTTGTGTTTTTAGCCAACAAAACTAACAGCTCAGCCAATGATTACTGTCATTTATATATGTTATATGTACACTCATTTCACATTTATAGATATACTTGGAATGAAAACAACTTTTTCAAACTGTAATTCGTGCCTTTTCTGTCTCCACAGTGGGCCTTTTTGCAAGACCCTCCTCACATGTGTCCTCCCAGAGCCACGGGTCGGCTCCTCCATCCTCCCCCAGCAGGGTGGGCTTGGACCAAACCTGCACCTCTCGCTCCTCAGAGGCTTCAGGCTCCACCGAGGCAGCCAGGAATATCCCTACATCTCCCGGCAGCCTTGTTGTCAAAGAAGAGCCCTGCGACATCGACACAGTCCTAATCAAGTGGGAGATGAGTGAGGAGAGATTCGCAGAGCATCAGGAGAGTGCAGACGGTCCATGTCAGGACAAACAGAGCCCCAGTGTAAAAAGTAACGTACTGACACTGTTTGAATATTCTCAACAACACAGGGACATGGTGATCTACTACTTTAACTTTAATTGCTTTGGGCCAAAGCCAGGTTTTGGCCGTTTTGTGGTAATGTACTCACAATGTAATGTACTCTGCTCACAACTTTTGGTCTCTTGTTCCCACTTCTTCTTTTTGCATTTTGAAGTTCTACTTAAAACCTTCCTAAGATCCAACAGTGCAAAATGCAAATTCATGCAATTTTTTAACTGGTCTTAAGATTTTGATCAGGAGTGTATCAGCATGGCAGCAGGGTTATAGAACTAACATACATGCTCATCTTTTGTGATCCCTGTAGAAAAATTAGAGAACAGAGAGAGAAAGAAGGTCAGAGAGAAACCTCAAGCTGACCCTGGTGGATTTCGAATCACTGAGGGAGAACATCTGAGGTGAGTTAAATGATTAGACTGTGTATAAAAGATGGAAGCAGCCCCCTGTCTGAGAAGTGAAACCTTTCTACTTTCTGCTTTCTTTCTAAGAGCCAGCAGGGGGCGACTCCTCTACTTTAAAATAAGAGATTGTGTAGCAGGAAAAGATGAACCTATTTCTAACTTGAGTTTTTAGTCTCAATTTCAAATTTTAAGTCTCTTTTCATGTGGCATGATGCTCATGTAGTAAAATATAAACCCATTTAGAAGAAAATAGACAATAAAGCATGTTGTAGAGCAGGGCTACCTTTTGATTTGAAGGTTGTCAGTCAGATCCACCCCTCGTTCATCACATCCGATTTGAAAAAAACAAAGAGGGCAATAGCCAAAGTCAAAACTCAAGGCTTCAGAATGGTCATCCATGAACAATCCGGTGGCGTCATGGTGGCTACGTCCATCCTTTACATACAATCTATGGTTATTTTATGGATGCTTACACAGAAAGTTCAAACTAAATCCTGCTTCTTCTTCATGAAGGCATTTTCATGTATTTTACATTATTTGTTAGTCTTCAAAGTAATAATTGCTGTTCTTCAATTTGTCAAGTCTTTACAAAATGCCAAACACAATTTACATAATAAAACACCTTTGTCCAACCAATGGGATATATTAAGTTTCAGATACGAATTCAGATATGAGGTGTCTGATTTTGCTGCTTTTTCTTTCTTATGCAACGTAAACACAAACTACAGGATTAATTGATAGTGCAAGGTAGTTTACAAGTGTCTAACTGGGGATATATTCAGTGGTCTGATACAGGCCTGACACACTGATTTAAATAAAGAAACAAGACTGTGGCTTAGTGTAAGAATTAAGTTTCAGATTTTCATTTGTTCATGTTGGCCAAGACCCCAGCCACTATCAGGAACCTTTATAATTGAAAAAAATATGTGATATTTGAATTTTAGGGATGCAAATTTTGGACTAATTTCTTTACTGATATTTGGTGGCTTTTTCAATCAATAGTATATTAACTTAAATGAGAACTGCAACCATTTCTCCTTATGCTGATATAGCCATTTTTGACAACAGAAACTATATTGACAGTAAACACAACTTGATTGCACTGTTTTAATTGACTACGGAATGTCTTCAAAGCTGAACTCTCGCAGGTAGCCGTGTCATGGTGGCCCTTTGCAAGCTAAACCCCCTTAGTAGTCCAAGTGACAACCTCCTCCAGTTACTGCAGTATTAAATACAAATGAGATGCAGTCCACCATCATATCAAATATCAATGTGCTCCACCTAGTGGCACAACCATGTACTGCAGCTAATGTGCAACACATTCATCTGCTGCCTTAACAGTTAATGTGTTTGTAATCTCTTAAATGATTGACAACAATTGATTAAACATTCACATCCCTACTGAGCTACCTTCAGTATCTACTAGAATTGCAGATTAATTGATCCAGAATTATGTAAGTGGATTTAATTTAGAAAAGATAGTTAAAAAAGAAAAAAAAAAAGTGAACTCTTAGTGTGAACTTCATACCTTTTTCTTTGGATGATCCTGTCTCACCTGTTGACCTCAGGAACAAGAAGAAGAGTATACCGATGTCCGAGCTGCCGGAGGAGGCTCAGAGACTGAAGAGGGCGGCCTGGAGGGCAGCTTCCAGGCGCTATTACGCTCGAAAAATAGCCCGCCAGCAGGCAAACCCCTCACGCCCCGGCCTCTTTCCCCACGTCACAAACTCTTCGTATTCACAGCCGAGCTCCTTCATGGATAAGAGGCAGAGGACGCTGATATCGGAACTACCTGAGGAGTCTCAGTCGCTGCAGAGGGAGGCGTGGAGAGCCGCCTCCAGGAGGTACTACGCTCGGAAAATAGCTCGCCACCAGACAAATACGAGACCATACGGACACCTGCTGGAGGACATAAACCCTTCTGGAGACGCTCAGAGCCCGGACAGAGAGGGACCCCACGCTAACAGTGGAGGAATAATGTGCAGCTGATAGACACAACACTGGACTATGTTTGTATTCTTTTAATTAATGATATTGAGGTTTGTCTCAAGTCTTCTGATGTGGTGAAATCAGCTAAAACCTACTGTTTGTTTTGGGTATTTGTGTATTTCCTCACAGTTCATTAATGCAGAACATCACAACACTTCACTTTGGGTCTACAGCTTTCTCTTCATTTCTGCCTCAAGGCAAATTCATGGTTTCTGCATGATGCATTCTGCAGCTCTGTTCGTACTACAACAGGTAAACGTACGTCTTCTACGCAGACAGTTACATTTCCCCTCATATCAAACTAAAGAAAAACCCACAGGGCTGCTGTAGATGTTTCTCAAAGGCTGTAACTTTGCACTTTTTACAGGATATAGCAGCTGGTTATTTCCATTGTCAATTAAGCTAATGATCCTTTTTCTTATTTGGTGTCTCATTGATAAAATGTCAGAAACTGGTTAAAAAAAAAGTCCATCATTGTTTCCCACGTCAGAATCAGAATCTGTTCTGTTGCCAGGTAGATTCACAGAAATGAGAAATCTGACTTTAGGTGCATTACAGTAAATGCTGACAAGCAGAACATTTTTTCAGAAGGATAAAAGATTTAAAAGAGCAAGTGTAGCAAATTCAAGGTATTGTAAAAGAAATAAAGGTACTAGAAATATTGACACTTGCAGGAAATTATTCACCTTGTTTTGTTCACATCCCAAAAATATAAAATTTACTGTCATGCGGGGGGAATCTCAAACTGATAAATTGAATATTATATTTAATAGTTGACAGATTAATCAGTTAGTTTTTGCAGATGTTTTGAGCTACAGGAATGTGCCAGTCTGATTATTCAAGAGACACAGTGGGTGAACGGAGCATAAGACATCTGAAGAATTTAGAGCTTCCCACTTCGGACCTCTGCAGTAACACTGAAATAGAAAGCATGAATTGGCCTTTGAGTGGCACACGCACTGCGTTCCTGTACAAAATACTAACTGCAGCATTGAGGCCATATGAATCTGTTCTACCAGCTGTTGTGCAGTATTTCTCATGTAACATCTATTCTTAACAGTGCAGCGCCCCTGGGGTCCAACGTCTGTAACTACAATCAAATCATGAGCTCACCATCTTTGTGTTAATGGTGGATTAACAGTTACCAGCTAAATTTATACTGGTAAAACCTTTCTTTGAACTTATTAAACACATGTATTGAATAAAACTCTAGAGTTACCTGATCCTGTGAACCACAGCTATCATGTGTCTTTGTCACTGAAGTCAGAAAAATTCAACGGTTTATTTTCTTTATACACCAGTTTGCACTTAAATATTTGAAATCAAGCAAACATGAAGCAAGGTTTTTTCCCCACAGTATGTCTAATTTTTTTCTAGAAATGATGCACAATAAAAGAGAAAAACACTATTTCATTTGCTTTGCTTTTTTAAGAAAATTATTTTACGATATTAGGACATTGACTTACATCAGGTAAAATATACATTCAAGTAATAAAATAAATAACTTACCTGTGGAGTTACAGCGAGGGGAAATCCAAAGCACTAAACATAATACACACACCATAAAGTCACTCAAGGGAACTGTTCCTACCATTTAATTCAATTCATGGCTGCAAGATTAAAAAAAACAAGTACATCATTCTGAAGTTTGTAATTATTATTTTGAGGGTTTAGGTTGACGTACTAATGTTGCATCAACTTAATATTGTGTGTGAATTAAACTCAAATTTCTGCATTAAGTGATAGAAAACTAAATTCAAATTGAGGTAACTCAGTGAAACTGGCTTGATAACTTGCATTCCAGTCCCCTGACTACTCACCATTGCAACATTTAAGCAGTTCTTTAAAATATTTACTTTTATGACAAAAAAAAAAAAAGAATAATAGAAATATAAATAAAAAATAAACAGAATAATTAAAATACAATAATTAACTTAGAATCTTGAGTTTATGTTACATTGAAAAACAGAATTTAATTTTCAGGCCAGGTTAAATTCTTGCTTCCATTGGCAACATGCAAGTTCATCCAAAGTAAGTTCATTAAGTAATATCAAGGCCGCTAGTGTAAGTTAAACTTACCCTGATTTCACTCAATATTTCTACTAAGTTGCACTTAAACCATTTAATTCCTCTCAAACAAACAGTTTTTATTGCTACAACTTATTTATAAGGAATGCCAACTTGAAGTTTCGCATTTTTCTGATCTAAATACTTACTTTCCCTAAATGTAAAATGTTAAACATGATTTTGTCATGAGCCTTAGATGCTTTTTTTTATTCTTTAATCTGTAATCCTACTGGAGGAAAACAACGGTTATATTGCAGCAGAAACATGATATTAAAACAACACCAAATTTAATTGCTGCACCTTTGCTGGAACTGGAAAATTAGTTTAAAGAGTAAATTCTAATTGACAAAATTAACAAACTGTGTTCACCAAACCTGAAAGATAAATGAGATTCATTTGAAACAGTTTTCACTTCCACTGCAGCTCAAATACAGTTTCAGTCATCAGTAAATAAGCTTTAATTATTTAATTAAATTTTTTAGAACTCAGTGTAATTTGTTGGTTGAACATAGTGTCATTAGAAGCTTTCATAACTCAAAAAGATTGCTGCAAAGTGATTGTTTTATTTTGTTGAGCCCAGACATCATTTTCCAGACATTATTTTCCAGTGTTGGTTTTTTGTCTGAGTCCCTGCTTTCAGATCTATATTATTGTGGTTTTACGTCCATCAACAAAGTTCCTCCTGCCGCCCCACCAAGCAAAAAGTAATTTAAAAAAACAAAAAAACAAGGACCTCTTGCAACAGAGGCTGTCTGTCACCATGGAGCATAAATCACACATCCTGACCACCGACAGATGCACAGCTGATCTTGCACAAGTGTGGTTTCTACACACTGTAAAAAAAGAAGTGAAAAAAACAAAATGTCTGGCAGCATGTTTCCAAAGAGTTTCCATAAAAGTAAAATCTTGAACAGGACTTGGTGATGAATAACTAAAATTACAGGTTTTCCCCTGTTTATTTTTTCTGTATTTTCAAATAAAATTACACATTTTCATCATTAAACATCTCCTAAATGTAATAACATGTAGTGTAATGTAGTGACAGCAGAAACATATTAAAAGTTGACAATTTAATTGTTGCTGTCTTTTAAATAACAATGTTATGTTGCTTTATAGAATGTATTTAATCCATCTACAATATATGCATTTTAACATACAGATTTCTTTAAGAAAAAAAGAGAAAACTTTTATAATTTATTTTCACTTTATTGACAGATTGCCTCAATTGAAAGATACATATATATTTAGATAATATAATGAATATATATTCAAACACTGGCCATTGACTGTTAAAAATACATTTTTTAAAAAATATCGCAGGGTTATTTACA